AAAAAAAAAAAAAAAAAGTATACAGATTTCTGAGATATCAGAATATAATGGGGTGTTTAAATATATATGAGATGACTTTAAAAACTCATTTAAATTATATTCATAATGAATAGTTCAATACATTATTTCACAGTACTACTGCTTGTTCTCAGGGGAAAAATCTGAAAATAGGTTAAGAAAAAAATCAATCATTAGATCAATTGGGATACAAGGTGAAGAAAAATCTGGGTCTGTATTATTTTTATAGTAGGCATTCATGCCTACCTCCAAAAAAAAACCCAATGCACAAAGCAATAATAAAGTCAAATAATACGATGTGCCCAGTTTCCCATCTCTTTTTCTGAGACAGGGTCTTACTTTGTAGTCCTGACCTTCACTCACTATGGAGCCCAGGCTGGCCTCGAACTTGAAGTGATCTTCCAGCCTCAGCCTCCTGAGCGCTGCGATTACAGGCGTGCGCCACCGTGCTCAGCACCACCTTATTTTTACTTACTCGATAACTACTGCCTAAATATCTACAGTATATTCATCACTACACCGGACAGTATGGGACAGCACTCTAAAGATAAAATTTGAAAGAAGACATTATAGAGTATATCATGATAAACACACTCGTCCAGTTAACAAATGCAGTAACAGCATCTAGACAAAATATACAAAGGCTTCTTGCTTGGTTATTCTAGAGACAGGGGTCAATTAAGTGAGTCCTGAACATTTCAGAGATGAAAAAGCAGTTTAAGTATCTCTGATGCCTTTGAAACACAGGCTGAACATAAATGACTGATAGGAGTTGAACACAAACAGGAACAGGACCCTGCAGGGCAGACTGGGGACAGACTGGGGTCAGGCTCAGGAGTGTGGCCCACGCTCTTCAGATGGGACAGCTCCAGCAGCAGAGCAGCTGAGGCCCAGGGGAGTCCAGGCAGCGCAATTCGCTGACCTTGTCACTCCTCCTGCCTTCTCTAACTGTTGGAAACATTGTACTGCTCAACAGGGCAATTTCACAGTTCATTAGCCAGTGTGGTGGTACACACTGCAATCCTAGCTACTCAGGAGGCTGAGGCAGGAAGATATCAAGTTCAAGCCTAGCAATTTAGTGAGATCTTATCTCAAATAAAGAAAAGGGCTGAAGGTGTAGCTCAGTGGTTAACAGTTAACTGCTTGCACTGTTAGAGGCATTGTTCTAACCCCCCCCCTTTTTTTTTACAGCGATTCAATCCTCCCGGAGCACCAGCTGTGCAGCGGATTCTTTTGTGAAGAGCATCACCTGTATATTTTCAACCTTATCCACTAAACTCCACCTGACTCTCTCCTCAGTCTCCCAATTCTCCTCCTTGAGATCAATTTTTCAGGCCTCTCAAATCAGCGAGATTTAGTAAAAAATGTACACTTTCCCAAAAGACCTGAGTCGTAATATACAATGAAGATGCTGTAGAAGAAAACACAAGTGCAAAACATAGTAAGATATGGTCCGGTTTGGAGAAAATATTAAACAATTATGGTGAATGTCTGTCCAGTTCTGTGTACCAGGGTGACCACTGAAGAGTGTAGGTCAGACAGAAGAAGCAAACAAACAAACACCTTCCCATGATCACATCTTCTACTGACAGGAAATTCTGAGAAAAACCACTTCAAAATTGTTCCTTCCACTTTGCAAAGGGTAAGAATCGGTGATTCAAGAATCGGTTGCTACCTGGATATTTTGGGGAGATCCAGGTCACTGGCAATAAACACACTTTGATCAATTTTATTCCCTGGTCATTTAGCAAAAATAACTTGGCTACAGCAAGCTCAGTTCATTCTGTTAGCTGCTCCAGCACTGGCAAGCAGCCCTTGCCTCCCAATACATCACTGGTTCCTGCACATAATCTTTACCATAACAAGAAAGCTTTGTGTACCAGCCAATCACTTCAAATGTTCCCTGCAGTATTCCAGGATTCTCACATTACAGCTAAACAGACTATGTGAGGGAAAGATATAAAGGTTAAGTATCTCCTAAAGCACTGACAGTACAGTGAGATAGCTGAAATAATACAGGAGGAGACAGGCACTTGTGCCTCAGTACAGACAAACTATGCACACAAACACACAATAAGATATTTTTTCCCTGAACAAGTCTCCATTTCCTTACCCTTAAAAAAAACAACAACAACAAAAAAAAACTGATTGGCTAAGAGCAAGTATAAAAAAAGAGGTGATCAGGATCAATAGTTTTTAGATCCTTTAAGCCACAGAACTTTTTTTTTTTTTTTTTTTTTAAGTTTTATGAGACAGGGTCTCATTATCTCACTATGTAGCCCAGGCTGGCCTCGAACTCACAGGAATCCTTACAGATTACAGATCTGAACATATAAATCAAAAATCTGAAAGAACCAGACAACTCCACTCCCTCTATAATGCTGAACAAGCACTGGCTGACTGAAGGCCTACTTTACAATGAATGGTCTTTTCT